TGAAAATAGGAAAATACAATTTGCTTACTTATTCCGGACGGTTGCTTCTGGCGGCTAACTCCTTGGGTCGGGTGGCGGTCTCTGGTCGGTGTTCAGGTCCTCGGGGTGGTCCTCGGGTTGGCGTTAGAGTTCTTCGAGTTCTGGCAGCGAACTGCCTGTTTTCGTCCAGGAACGGTGGTTTTATTGCCTCAATCCCCCCCTTAACTGACCAGGAGTCTTGGTGGGATTATGCGCGCGGCACTCGTCAGAGTGTGGCAAACGGACGGTTCGGCTCGACTCGCGGTTAATTGCTCTCACCCAATTAAACTAATTAAATAAATAACTGGCCAACGGCCTTGCATAAAACTTGAAATTAATACAGGTTCATTACAGAAATCGGACTGTATTTGAGAGTCAGTTTGTAATACATTGTTGTAGTGATTGCTGTGCTGTTTTTCGAGAATACATTGAATTATTTTCTTTAGAAAACGGCGCATTTATTTAGCAGTCGCGAATATTATGATATGCTCATAATTTATGGTGAAGCAAACGAAAATGTACCGCGAACATTTGTTGCTGTAGGACACCGGTGAAGTACAACCGCGTCGAGGTCGCGACGGTAGTCCAGGGCGACTTCTAAGAATCTTAAATGTCGAGGAGATGATTTTACATCTCGCCGAAGATGAACCGCAACGTAGCACCAGAAATATCGCACAGCAAGTAAATATTTCGCATCCTGTTGTGTGGCGGACATTACGAGAAGCTCAGTTGTACCCATTTCATATTAAACGTGTTCAAGCACTTACTCCTGAGGATTTTCTACTAGGTTGAGGTTTCTGCGAATGGTTGCGTCAGGAACATGCAAGAAATTCTCAATTTACAGTGCAAATACTTGTTACAGATGAAGCATGTTTCAGTCGAAATGGTGTACGTAACGTCCACAACACTGGACTTTCGAAAATCCACACGAAATACGTCGCGGTGCCTTTCAGCAACAGTTTTCACTGAACATGTCGGCCGGTATCGTTAATGACACTTTAATAGGACCTTTTGAATTGCTTAGACGCTTAGACGGTGCTTCATATATAGATTTTTTGCAAAATCGTTTGCCGAAGTTATTGGAAGAGGTGCCATTAAATGTTCGGCAAAATATGTGGTTACTGCATGACGGA